CACCCATGGTAGTTCTCACGCCTACAATGCATCCACGCCGCGCCGGTGGTAAGCAAGAAAGGGGGAGATGAGGAGGAGGAGGAAAAGGGGGGAGAAAGAGGAATGAGCGAATGAGAGAGAGGGAGAGAGGGAGAGAGGGAGAGAAAGAGAGAGATAGATAGATAGATAGATAGAGAGAGAGAGAGAGAGAGAGAGAGAGAGAGAGAGAGAGAGAGAGAGAGAGAGAGAGAGAGAGAGAGAGGAGAGAGAGAGAGAGAGAGAGAAAGGGGGGGGGAGGGAGAGGGGGGGGAGGGAGGAGAGGGAGGGAGGGAGGGAGGAGGGAGGGAGGAGAAGGGAGAGACAGAGAGAGAGAGAGAGAGAGGAGAGAGAGAGAGAGAGAGAGAGAGAGAGAGAGAGAGAGAGAGAGAGAGAGAGAGAGAGAGAGAGAGAGAGAGATCCACACAGAGAGAAAGCAGCTTCTGCATCAGCAAGCACCGACACACACTCGCCCTCGCACCTGTGTCCAAATGTGCCTTACTCCTCAGCACTCGGGAGCCCCCTCCGCCTCCGAGAGCGCCGCCGCATCCAGCACCCAAGCAATCCCCAGGAATGTGTAGCTCAAGCACAAGACCCTCCCCTTCCTCCCCTCCCAAAGCACCCCCATCCCCCTCCTCCCTCCCTCCCCTTTGCAAGCCAGCAACACAAACGCAAAACCAAATCAAGGCAAGAATGCAACAGCTCCTCGACCACGCGTCCGTCCTCCCCGCCGCCGCCGAACTGGCCTCTCGGAACCTGCTCGACGGGGCTTGCCTTCACACCGCCTGCAGGCTCGTCTCCATGAGGTCTGCAGGATGCCTCGGGTACCTGTTTCTTGTCATGCTCGCTGGGGGTAGGGGGCCAAGGTGGGCATCGGGGGGGTTGAAGGCCTGGGAGATGGGGTTGAGGTATTGAGGAAGGGGTAGGGGGAAGGGGGAAGGGTGTAATGGATATGGGGTAAAGGGAGAGTGGTAAGAGTGAAGGAGGAATAGGGGAGAGGGGGAGGGGAGGAGAGGTTTTCTAACTTGGCGAAATGAACTTCGAAAAAAAAAAACACCACGTGCCAATTTAGCACGCGGTGTTGTGTATATTGACGCCCTCGATTTCGCTACGTGGTGGGGTTTTGCTATCGGCGTGGGACTGACTTCTTAAAGCCCCCCTCCCCCCTTCTCAGGAGTGCGGCCCCCCCTCTATCTCTCTCGCCACGACACACACTACTACGCATGAGGAACCTTGCAAAATAAAACCGAACTGGTGCTCCTTCCACCCTCCCAGACTCTCCCCAAGCCGTGACAACCACCAGCGACTACAGATAGACCCCATAGACCAAGAACCCCCCCCTTTCCTCCCCCCAGAAAGCCAAAACCAGGGCGAGACAGACCCCCACAGCAAACCCTCTCACACCAGCCCCGATAAAAAGGAACCTTGGATCAGCAGGCGTGGAGTGCTAGCCGTACTAGGGTATTGATTGTTTGGCCCAACGCTGGCTAACTCACAGGCGGCCAGCCAGCCAGCGCGCTCCAGGCCGGGGTGAATGGGACCCGCTCCACGATTCTCCCATTTAACCAATGCCAACACTGGGTCACAACGGAAGCCTCTCTTGACCACTTCCCCGTGCAGGTCACCGTCTACCTCTTCCCCCTCCTCCTCCCCAACGGCACAACGCCCTACTCCCCCCAACGCCCCATCCCCCTCCAATACAGCCGCCGTTGTGACCTAGTGGACCAAACTGTCTCGTTGTTTACATCTCTCTCCCGCTCTCTCTCTCTCTCTCTCTTTCTCCCTCTCGCCCGAGCTCTCGACACACGGCCGTATCTGCCACTACAGTTTGATCTCTCATCTTTATTCCATTGATTAATCTTGAATTTCGTCTCTCATCGATATAGGTTAACGACGCTTATCAAGCTAGTCTCCTTGTCTCGAACTGGTGCTGTTTTTATCTTATCTGGCGAGTCTGCCCAATACGAATAACGATCCAGACCTACTTGGCCTGAACAAGCTGTAGTCGACCCTTTGTAGCAGGCGGGGAGGGGGAGGGGAGGGAGGACTGGGGAATGGGGGAGAGGTATTCATTCACACAGCGTGAACAACACTGAGATTATGAATGAGACATTTTCCCCTTGCTCACCAGCGGGGCTTCAAGGCACCGAGGGGTAAATTAAGGGCATCCGTTGTGGCGCTGGGGAGGCCCTGACGTCAGGCCCTGTCGTGTTTGGTCTGGTTATCCTCGAATGGCGAGGGGGTTCTCGAAAGAGGTAATTTAATGACCTTCGGAACTATCGAGTCGGAAATGGGGTTGTTAATGGGTCTGTGGGGCGGTAATGGCAATCTTGGGAGGAATGCGGTCGGGTTGTGCCACTGGCGAGGACCAGAGTGCCATGTCCCCTTCGCAGGGCGGCGGAACAGGAAATAGGAATGACAGAGGCCGTGGCACTGCGAATTGCGTGCCAGCGGCTCTCGAAGACACAACCAACTGGGTCCTTACCTGATAAGCAATGTGCGATGCAGCCCTCTTGGTTGAACTTCCTACAGAGGATGGTCATGAGTGTGGGCGTGAGCGGGTTGCTAGCGTGGGCGTGGTCGTAGAGAACGATAGGGACACACTGGTGGAGCCTGGCGAGCCGATCTCCGCCGTCAGCAGCCAAGTGCCGCACGACCTGAGGCAAACTCAGCTTGCCCGAGGCCAGGCGCCGGAGCATCAGGGAGGAGAGGCCTACACTCACGGCCCCGCGGATGTGTCCTGCTCTGTAGTCGTCGGCGCCACGGCAATCTAGCATCAGTATCTCCTCGACTCCATGTGCCCGCCGCAGCACCTCACACAGCTCGCCTGCCTCCACCACCGGTGCGACGCTTCCACCACTCATACTGCCACCACTGTATCCTGCTGCAGCCTCACCATCAATAGAAGGCATGGCGGCGCATGGGCACGCTTACAAAACTGCTGCGCCCGATCTGCATTTACTACAACTCACTGGAACATCAAGTGTCAAGCACCAACACCAACAAACACTTCCCAAGCACAGCTCAGCAACACGTCTTTACTCCCTGCAGTCCTACCACCATCTGAGCTAGCAGACCATTGATGAAAACGTCCCTAGTACGGAGCGCCTACGTCACCGTCCCCCAATAGCCAGTAGCGGCGCAGCAACTTGTGACGTCGACCAATCAAAACCTCCCAAGGAGTATTGCGGGCTCACTGCCAATGGCAGCGCGTGAAAGCGACCAATCCGGGCCGCTCTAGTCTGTGACGTCAGAATTATCTCTAAAAGGAAAAGCATTACCAAAAAGCGCGGGAACGGGAGAAAACATGAATCAATCTAGCCGAGAGTAATTTTGTATATCACGATTGTTTTTCTTCACTAGAAGAGCGTAACAACCGAGGGAAAATACCTGATACCTATCGCCGAGAGAAACTAAGACAAATAAATATATAAGCAACGAAGATAAGTTGGCTGGCTGCAGATCGCCAAATACAGCAAGGTCGCGAACGTTGTGTGGGCGTGGGGAGGAGGGGGAAGGGGGAGACGGGGTGGGGGGGAACGGATCGTACCTCGTACCTCTCGTAAGACATCTTGGCAACGTCATTCTTCTTTTCTTCGTTTTATTAATATCCTCGTTATCACAGCGGTTATCATTACGATCATTCTTATTATTATCACTATCATTCCTATCATTGTTATTATCATTATTACTATTACTACCATCATTATTACTATTATTATCATCATTATTATAATTATTATCACATTATCATCATTATCATTATCATTACCATCATTATCACCATTCCATTGCAACATTCATCATCATCATCATCATCATCATCACCATCAGTACTAGAACTCTCACTTGGCAACGTGCCTTCGCTACACTCGCGCTACACGCTTTTGTGCAAAACCGCTTTCGAATTCTGTGCGTTAGACGAAGCCGAAGTCTAGGCCAGAGCGCATCCATTTTGAGAGAGTCGCGGGGTTAAACTAAAATTTCCCGGGATTTAGAACAGAAGACTTGCTGGGTTAAATCATTTTCGTCGATATCACAGTGACTTCACTATACTATTCTTATTGTTATTATCATCAGTATCATTATAATTATAATAATGATTATAGTTATTGTTATTATTATTATTATTATTATTATTATTATTATTATTATTATTATTATTATTATTATTATTATTATTATTATCATTATTATTATTATTATTATTATATTATTATTATCATTATTATTATTATTATATATTATTATTATTATATTATTATTATTATTATTATTATATATTATATTTATTATTTATTATTTTATTATTAATTATTATTATTATTATTATTATTAATTATTATTATTTTATTATTATTATTATTATATTATTAATATCATTACCATTATGATTGTGTTATATTAATATTACAATTATTATTATCATTAATATTCTTATCATTATTACCATTATTATTATCATTATCATTATAATTATCCTCATATCATTATTGTTTTATGATTCGTCTTTTTTTCTCATTTTCATTATCCTAACTATTGCTGTTATCATTGTTATTATTATTATCATTATTACTATTATCATTATTATTGTATTTGTTTCTATTATGTATTTATTATTATTATTATTATTATCTATTATTATTATTATTATTATTATTATTATTATTATTATTATTATTATTATTATTATTATTATATTATTTATTATTATTTTATTATTATTATTATTATTATTATTATTATTTATATATATTATATTATTATATATATTATTATGTTATATTATTTATTATTAATTATTATTATTATTATTATTATTATTATTATATTATTATTATTATTATTATTATTGTTATTATTATTATTGGTATTTATTATTGTTATCATTGTTATGTTCTTATTAATATTATCAACATGATTATTACCATTGTAATTATCATCATATTTTTTGTGTTATTTCTATTGTTATTGTTAACATATGGGGCTACTATCTGTATCATTATTATTATTATCATCATTATTATCATTATCATATCATATCATTATCATTTAATATCATCATTATTATTACTATCACTATCATTATTGTTGTTATTGTAATTTTATTATTGTTATTATCATGATTATTAACATCATTATTATTATTGTTGTCATTGTTGTTTTTGTTAGTATCATTATCATTATCAATGCTAATGTTAGTATTACCATTATTATCATTAGCATTACAGTCATCATCATTATCAAAATTATTATCATTACTATTATTATCCTTATTGTTATTAGTGTTATTTTTGATATTATTGCTATTGTTTCATTATCATTATTGCTATGGTTATTTTTATTATTATCATTATCATTATCATTATTGTTATTATCATTATAACTATTGTTATCGTTATTATCATTAATATATTTCTATTCTATCATTATATATACATATATATATATATATATATATATATATATATATATATATATATAATATATATTATATATATATATATATATATATATATATATATATATATATTATATATATATATTGGAAAAGATTTATAGAAAAGTTTACAGAAAATAAGATTTTAGGTAAAAAAAAGTGACAGAAAAAAACAGTTTACAGAGATTATTATTTTTATTTTTTTTATTTTTTTTTTTACAGAAGTTCACCGTAAGACTACCCTTGACCTTACCTCAGCACCTGCACTCTCTCACCCCCCCCCCCTATACTCCCTCATTCCCATGCTTAACCCCTCCCCTCCCTTCCCATCCTCCTCTCCTCCACCTCCTCCTCCCCTTCCCCTTCCTTCTCCTCCTCCTCCTCCTCCTCCTCCTCTCTCCTCCCTCCTCCTCCTCTTTCCCTGCTTCGTTTTCTATCTTCGAGAACGTGTTTTCTTTCTTTCTTGGATCTCGTTCTTTGTCTTATTCTGGCTGTCTGTTCGTTCGTGTTTGTTTGTTTGTCTACCACCTCTTGTCTCTCTCTCTCTATCTTTCTATCTTTCTCTCTCTCTATCTATTTTTCTATCTTTCTCTCTAGTTATCTTTCTGTCTAGTTATTTTTCAATCTTTCTCTCTATCTATGTATTTTTCTATCTTTCTCTCTATTTATCTTTCTGTCTATTTATCTTTCTATCTTTCTCTCTATCTATCTATTTTTCTATCTGTCTCTCTATTTATCTTTCTGCCTATCTATCTTTCTATCTTTCTCTCTATTTATCTTTCTGTCTGTATATCTTTCTTCTTTCTCTCTATCTATCTTTCTGTCTGTATATCTTTCTATCTTTCTATCTATCTATCTATTTTTCTATCTTTTCTCTCTCTATCTCTATCTATTTCTATTTCTCTCTATCTATCTTTCTATCTTTCTCTCTATCTCTTTCTATCTTTCTCTCTATCTATCTATTTTTCTATCTTTCTCTCTAACTATCTATTTTTCTATCTTTCTCTCTATTTATCTTTCTGTCTGTCTATCTTTCTATCTTTTTCTCTATCTATCTATCTTTCTGTCTATCTATCTTTCTATCTTTCTCTCTATCTATCTGTCTCTTTATCTATATATCTTCCTCTCTCTCTCTCTCTCCATCTCTCTCTCTCTCTCTCTCTCTCTCTCTCTCTCTCTCTCTCTCTATCTATTTATCTATCTATCTTTCTATCTATTCGTTTATCTGTCTATCTATATCTCTTCCTCTTTCCTCATTCCATTTTTCCTCTCTACGTCTCCCTTCCCTTCCTCCCTGTCTTCCCTCTCCCCTTCCCTTTCTTTCCCTTAACTTCCCCCTTTTTATCTCCTTCTCCCTCCCCTTTCTCTCCCTCCCCCTCCCCCTCCCTTCTCTCCCTTCCCTTCCTCCTTCTTCCCCTTTCTCTCCCTTCCTTCCCCCCCCTTTCTACCTTCCATTTCCTCCCCCTATTTCTCTCCTTCCTTCCCCTCTTTTCTCCCAGTCCCTCCCCTTTCTCTTCCTCTCTTCACCCTCCCCTTCCTTACCCCCCTCCTTTCACTCCCTTCCCTCCCTCCCCCTCCTTTCTTCCCTTCCCTCCTCCTCCTCCTTTCACTCCTTTCCCTCCCCTCCTTTCTCCTGACTCCCCCCCCCCTCCCCCCCCACCTCCCTCCACTCCTTTTCACTCCCTTCCCTCCCTTCTCCTCCTTTCACTCCTCCCCTCCCTCCCTCCTTTCACTCCCTTCCCTCCCTCCTCCCCCATTTCTCTTCCTTCTCTTTCCCCCCCTTCCCTTCCCTATCCCCCCACCCTCCCCCTCCTTTCCTCCCTTCCCCTCCCTTTCACTCCCTCCTCCTCCCCTTTCTCTTCCCCCTCCCTTCCCTTCCCTATCCCCCACCCTCCCCCTCCTTTCACTCCCTCCCCTCCTTTCCCTCCCTCCCCTCCCCCTCCCCCCTCCCTCCCTCCCTCCCCCCCCCCTTTTCACCCCTCCCCTCCCTCCCTCCCTCCTTTCTCTTTCTCCCTCTAATTAAAGCTTCCACGCTGGCGAAGGCCTCGACCACGTCATCAATCGGGTTGGCTTGTTTGTCCTGCATAATCACCCCGAACACCGGATGACGTCACGGGTTGGCGAAATTAGCAAAATCCGAACGGCAAATATTACGAACTCGAATATTTTGAGATGCCTTTCGTTATTCGTGTCTTGTTCTGCTTTCTGTCGCGGTTTTGTTTGTTTCTCGGGGGTCTGTCTCTTCGTGTCTGTTGTTTTGTTTGTCTGTCCGTTTCTCTCTTTCATTGCGTATATATGTATATATATATGTGTGTGTGTGTGTGTTGTGTGTGTGTGTGTGTGTGTGTGTGTGTGTGTGTGTGTGTGTGTGTGTGTATATATATATATATATATATATATATATATATTATATATATATATATATATATAGTATATATATATATGTATATAGTATATATATATATATATATATATATATATATATATATATATATATATATATATATATATATATATATATTATATATATGTATTATGTATAATAAATATACATATATATATATATAATATATACATATATATATATATGTATATTATATATATATAATATATATATATATATAT